GTATTTATTATTTAAGTTGGTCAGCACAGTGGTAACACACGCCCTCTACGCGATGAGTCCGGAGTTCAAAGCGCAGACCGCACGGAGATCTGCACTACTGATGAACTCTAATAGGAGCGAAGCTTGAACTTCTGAGTGTATGGTTGACGGGATTAACTGTGGATTGTGCGCGAAGAAAAAGTCCGAAAGATAGACATACGAAATCAACATTCTTTTAGTTACATTAGTCGCTTTGGTCGAATTCTGTTGGCTTAATTCACTACTTGTCTGTGATTAAATGCCGTTGCGAACGTATGATCAACGTAAAAAAGCGCGCACATGGCCGTTGTCTGTGCTGGTCTATTGACCACCGATGCAGTATACTTGCCAGTTGTCGTGTAGAAATAACGACGCGATACAACCAACGCACCCCGTTTTCCAACCGATTGGGCTGATCTGAGTCGAGAAGGTACCATCGCATGAAGACTTCGAAGCATTATCAGCTAGGAAAACCGAAAAATTTACTCAGCATATATATGCTGAATAAGACTTTTCCAGCGATTAACCAGTTGCGGATATTCTTTCATCACCCAATGACGCAGTAACAGATTTTGCCTTTCCGGTTGACTTGCTTACGTCCTAGATCGTCAATGTTGGACGACGGGGATTCGACACTTGTGTTCAATTGAATCGACTGATTCTTGGAGCTCAGGTGGCAACGAATAATTTATGCCTCTGTGATAAATAAGCAGTCGTGAACAAAACAGCAGTGGCATTACCAGGGCGTGGGGGCTACATATTGGTCACCCGTCTTTCCGCAGAGGCCTTACGAGCTCGGTGAAGGTTCCGAGACAAGGGCCGACGTGACTGGACTAGCAAAAATGCAGTTTCTGTTCGCCTTACACATGAAGTGAGGCCAAAAGCGAAAAACGCACAGCAGGCTCGTCATCCGCTGACGTAAACGAAAGCCAAAAATCAACTGTCGCGGTCAACGGCGTATGAACCTGCTGAAGCTTATGATCTTTTGGACAAGCTTGCCCGAATGGCGTCAACGGTAATCATGAGACCGTAGATCCTGACGTTGCTTCATTGTCTTGCGGATTCGATTTTGAATGATCCAAGGCTCAGGATGAAACTCCCTAAGAATGTTCCAGTATGCGGCCCGGACAACCGGGAAGTTCACTGCCTCGAGCGGCGCTGAAGAAGTCAACTTGCATCAAGTGACTCGCCATAAATATTCTCTCAGGTATGCGTAACATCCATACTGTGGTGTCCATCGGAAGTGAAGCGTCCTGCGATCTACCAGCGGCTGGGATGTTAGCATGGAAGCTGGGAATCTCAGCATAACAGATTGGCATTTACAGCTTGATGAGATGGGCGCACTTTACTGGATACCGGGAGTCAGTGTGTCGCAGTGCGCACACTTTATGATCATATGGTGGATATAGTCGCGTATAAGCAAAGTATATATCAATGCAGATCTCAGGATCACTGCAGTGTAAAAGCCACTAGAAGTCACCGTATGCGCAAGTCAAACCTGCTGACTAGTCAAAACAGGAATCCACACAAGATTCGTAATAGATGAACTTTGAGAAGCTACGTTTCTTCGAGTGAAACAATACCCACTACGCTACTCAGCAGTGAGTATGAGTGGGTAACCCAAGGGAAATAAGGATATTAGGTGGAACGGGGTGTCAAATAAAGAATTAGACCACGGTCGGGATACCTGTGCAGCACATTCTATATCCATTACTCATCCAGCTTTCTGTATTAGCTAAAAAAAATCCTAATTACCGTGTGCAATAAATGTTGTTTCTTGGGGTTTTATGGACGGGTAGTGTCGGGGAGCTCAACCACTGTGCAGAAAACTGCAGTCGCGTCGTTTCTCTGTCTCCCTCTCTTGCCATCATCAAACACGGAATCAACTATTCGGTTTCATCACTGATGCCAATTTGTAATCTNTCGCAAAACGTTTCTTGATCTGGAACTTGTGCGAAAGAATGCGACAAAGCGCTTCGAGGAGGACACAAATATAGGAACTATGCAGACTGACAATGTGTTCTTAATCCATACCTACCTAAATCCACCAAGTTTGTCAAACAAACTATGTTACAAGCAATTTTGTAACAAAAGAAACCAATGCACGATGTGTGTGTGTGTGTGTGTGGGNTGTGGGCGGGGGGGGGGATAATGCAACGAGTAGTGTAGGTCCACTCCAGAAGATTTGATGAGTGATGCTGGCTCAGTCTCGAAGTCTCTGGTGGAGACGACAGATGCGAAACTCCACAGGGAACGATACCCCCGTGTCACAATCACTTTTTACATAGTGAAATCGTGTTTCGGAAAACCATATGACCACATTAGAGAATTCCAAAAAATGAAACAAACAGAATAGTTCGAACGAACTGCACTAATTGTCGGCAAAACGATGGCCGTATTCGGATGCACTCACTGACCTTAGGGAACGGTATTTAGTATAAACGCCCTTTTCTCTAAAAACGCTTTGGAGAACTTGGAAATCCGTTTGGAGCGCCCCAGAGACGTTTCTATGAACTCCACCACCTAAACGAGAAATGGTAAAAAAACATCAAGTTGAACATACACATCAAATATTCTCATATACATATGACTGAGATATTGAATATACTTTATAGCAGATTTTTCAGTGAGATGAACATGGAGCCACAATGATTCGTTGTTCACTTATGACAGCTGACAATCCAAGAGTTCGAAACTGGAGAGACAAACCCGCTTGAGGCTTCCGATGAGATAGGTGCGAGACCTGGGGAACAGTGAAGCAGCTTACCATCTATAAAATGCTGCTTAAGCTCAGGCTGGGGACTTATTGACAGGAAGAGGAATCTAGTTAGACTTTTGGGTTAGGGTCCACTAGGCTCGCTTGACCCCGGGATCGTCGTAACCAGTGGTTCGAGACACTGAGTGATATAGCTGGGTTGTAAACAGTGCATTCGTGCATCTACTCATTATCCTTGCAACCTTAGTCCATATGAATTCTCTATATTCTCTTTGACTCTGCTCGTAACAACCCCCTCTTCCCTCTGCACTGTATACAACTGGGCAGTCATGAGACAGCAACCAAAACCGGCGTACGAAAGTGCATGGCAACGGTTGTAAAAACTGATTCGCTCGGTGTGGGACCAGGAACATTGAAGAACGGGCTTAAGTGACGTGGGTGGATGATTATGTACGCATCCGATACTTTTTCACATTTGCTGAATTTTCTTGATCTGATGGAACATTCTTTGTGAGTAGGTAGGGTATGCTAAAGGAAGACAATCAGACCGATGATGTCCGTCATAGCTATGTAAATTACACCGAGGTGAACAGACTGACGTCAGTGAAACAAGATCTACAAAGAAACAATGGGGCATGAAAAATTACTAGGATTAGAGTCCGTGAGTGAGATAATGGTGTATGACAGAGAACATAGGTGTACAAGAGAAAGACTGAAATACCTGATCTGCGGCTTCCAATTCACATAGCAAATCCACCAGTGTAGGTAAATCAACACCAGACAGGGGCATGGAGGACAACTGTGATTCGCACCAGTGAGCCAACTCCTCTTTTGCTGCGAACGAGGCTGCTTCACGACTCATATTGCCATGCTGAGTGCAACAGGGTAAGAGAGGTGCGTGATTAACTTGTAGTCACCCAAGGTTGTTGGTTGTATGAACTGGAACTGATTCAACCGGAATATCGTCGCAACATAAACACACACACAGACCGAGGACAGACAATGAGCAAAGCGCCTTTTCAGTTAAAAAAAGTTGTTTTCTCGTTGAATAAAGCTTTGGTTAACGACCAGACAACTTAGCGCCAAAACGTATTGGCAGGCACACTTAACCACTAGACCATCACTACGAGACTGCACCTCGAAGTGGTATGATGGCTTGTGCACCTCTCTGAACGAACGAGCTATACGGGATGGTTTTTGTCAAGCCGAAAATCTAATCACGCCTGGAAGATTGAAGGGTAGAGGTCAGACGAAATCCAGTCTCTTGGTCCTCCAAGTTGGGGGTTCGACTGGAATCGGAGTTTCAGTCGGTCAAAAAAGGTGTCAAGTAAATGGCCCACCACTTCTCTTCACCCACTACTTTGCTGCTAGGTTCTCGTTGTAACTAAAGGCTTTGATTGAGAACCCTAATCGTTCTCCTGCTTAGTGGCTGGACACCCGTCCATCAAACCCCCATCGCATCGCGAGTCTGGCCGAGATCAATGAAATTCGCTTCTCTGTATTTCGCTGTACGACGTTGTTGATGATGAGCGAACCGGAACCGCATTAAGCCGGCGGTTGTTAGGCACCGAGATACGAGTACATTGGGTTTCGGAAGCAAATGACGACCATTCAAGAGTGACAAACCGGTGTCCATCCCTAAGTGACTAAACAAATGAGGGGATCTGAGCGCTTATGTTTGCCGCATCGGTACTCTACAACTAACCACTATTCAAATACGATACGAAATTTACCAACGACAATTCCCTCAAGGAAGATAACGCAGATTTTAACTCCAAGCAACAGATGCAAGATTTCCAATATTTCTCGGTTTTCAAAAATGTTGGCTTGATCCATGTTTTGATGCCAATAAACAAGTGAATATCAAAAGAAGGAATCTGCCTACAATTTTTTATAAACAACTGATTGCAAAGGGTGGATAACTTATAGAATATATGACTGCCTGTGTGAGGGCAAATATAAAAGCGATTGCAGATAAAATATTAGAACTAAAATGACATGCAAGTGGCAAGTATTTGGAAAGAATCCAGTTCAATCAATCCAAGAAATTGCATTTTTTATTACACACCAGTGTATGATGAATAGGAGACGGGGTGAAGCCCCATAGTCACGAAGACCTGCTGTTCAGTGATGGTAACCGGCAACCTAAACCGCGGGACTGGGAGTGGCGAGCCACAGAGGGACCCGTTGGGTCAGGCAAAGTTGTTTACCACCAAAGTTGGGTGGAGGTGTCGGGGCTTCAACCTCGGACCACAGGGTTCAAAGCACGCCGGTGACAGCAACCATACCACTGAGCCATCATACATTTATGAAATGAATAGCATATGGAGTAGACCACATAACCACGAAGACCTGTCAGTCGATGACGGAAACCAACAACTTAAGCTCCAGGAATTGGAGTGGCCAACGAAGAATGAGTACACAATACTGGTTGAAAGCTGCGCGTTTTGTTACAGTCAAGAAATAGGTGCACAGATTCAGTTCATGCATTATTCATTAGTAGCGGTACTATAGACACTGCGTTGGCTATGTTGTAAGGGTTGCTCTCAACCCTCAAATCTTAGTCCACTGTGATGCACTGAACATTAGCAACATGAGAACAAGAAATATATGCCCAGTGTGATATGTGTAGCAAGTATACAACTGTATGTATGGACACATATATATAACGTCAAAACAATGACTGTACAATTGAAAAAACGAGCATAGCACGTGCACTAATTCACAGCCTATGAATGGACACGCGTTCATTGATTTCAACAGACACGGAGAGAGAGCTTGGTCTAACGGAACCCACGATATAAATGCGCAATAAAGAGATAATCACCACATGGACGGCTTCAGATGGCATCGATTAAACTGAAAGGAATAGGGAGTGCAATCTTGATAGATCCGTTTGTAATCGCGTGCACACACACGTACTGAGATGTTTGAAGGAATGTGCCTGCACTCGTGACAAGCACCAGATCACGATCTGTTTGTTGGCGTTTCATCGCTGCCTTGCAGATAAGCAATCATTTGTCAGTGATATTTGTACACACACAAAATTAGTCGACAATGAATCCAAGGGTCGAGCCACAGGGTTAGCGTAAAACTGAGCAGAACACACTCTCCACACACATGAAATGAAACCGTAATCAAAGCACAATTTTCCAATACGAGTCGTATGACGCATGTGAGAGCACTACCTATGTATGAAGGCCCTCCCGCATTACATGCAACACGGCTTGGTACAGACTGTGTCAAACCATGCACGGCTTAAAAATCTTGGGGAAAAATAAGTCGTTCCACGATTGGTTCGTGCGCGTATAAAGCCAATCTTGGTGCACCTAACATATCTTCACTAACTTTGTATGCACTGCCGGTTTGACCGGGATTAGTGAAATTCGCCTCACCGCCGTAACCAAAACAGGTGATTTTCCTAGGTGTGTAAAATGATGGAACAGAGTCTTCACCAGAAATATATGCTCTCCCGACACTGTCCAAGAACACCAGGCCTTTCTGCGAAGGACGCTACTGGATAATGGCTATCCAGAGAAATTTATTGACGTGCATAGTAGACGAAAGACATCGATTGATTTCGCCTGCGAAGTACCGAAGAAGAGCGTCTTCCTCAGACTCGCCTTTAAAGGTGATCATATAATGAATGACGTGCATCAAAAGCTCAAGGCGGTACTGTGTCGAACGTATCCTGTCGCACAACTTCGATTGATACCGTATACCCAAGGGCTTCGTTTAGACAATCGAAAACAGAACCAGCCGAACAATTCTGCTTCACATATCGTCTACCAGTTCACCTGCACTTGCGGTGACACTTACATCGACAGAACGAATCGGCCCTTGGCACAACGGATGTCTGAACACATTCCCAAATGGTCGTTACAATCGATGACGCAACAAAGTCTTAGAGGTCAAACCGATAAGAGAAATTCAAGGTCATCAATCGCAAAACATCTCATGGCAACTGAACACACCGTTGACCCACAAATATTCAAGCCATTATTAAGAAACCCAGGATTTTGGCGTACGTGCACAAAAGTTTCTTACTCAATCAGTCAAACTGCCGTGGGCCTGATTTCCCACCCCACCCTCTCCCCCGCTTCCCTGACTACAGTCCGTTTTACCACTGTAGTTATCAAAACTTGCTTGTATAAATACCAGATTGCTTTACGTTGTCGCAACAGAAGAGATTAAAAGAAATATTAACATCTCGCAGGATTTGTCTTCTATCGGTTCTAGCAAATTAGTACTTGTTGTAGACCATTCGAATACGTGACAAAGAGTACTACTTTTGTGTCCACGGTACATTCGGTGAAATAATTTTTTTGAAGTGAACAACTTTAATACAAATTCTCCTGCCGTGGCAGAGTGAGTGAAACATAAGTCAACAAGTCAGTGATTTCTGAACAAGACGTAACAGGAATGCTATACTGCAGGTTACCAGTTGGGACACGAGATACACTCACTGCAAACATCCACGATGATTTTAAATCACACAGTTAGTTCTCAGGGCATAGAAAATCAAGTACCTGATAGATAACATCAAGGCGGCAAGCACAATTGCACGGTTGAATACACTAGAACGTGCAACCACGAAATGGAATCCACGCGATTGCGAAAGCCACCGTTTGAGAAGTGAGTATATGCGGTTCACTTTATCAATACCGCATCCACATCTGCCTCACATTCTCAATGGGAGTGCATATGACAATGCAAATAAGTGTGAACCCAAGTAAGGCAGCGCTGGACAGTTGAAGTGCAACGCTGAGGTCGGTCGTCAACGTTTGCATGAGAAATAAATGATATACGTATAGCTTATGGAAGGTGTGCACCGTCTCTGACTGAGGTGAAACGGAAGTGGGCACGATTTCGACTGCAAGTCAGACCAAAGTGAGACGTGTGGCAGACTTAGTGTGTTGCATACCCATAAGAAAGAAGTATGGGATTAGTGAACGATGCAAGCATCGAAAAATGGATCGTCAATGACTGATGCATTACACATTTGCCAAATTTATTTTCGCCGGAGTACCGGCTGGAATATATTCAACGAGAACCAACTTACAATATGTCAAGTAATACAGACAGTGAGAAAAATACTACGCATTACAAGAAGCCATAAAAAAACAGTCACAAAAGTGGGAATGGCTATCTACAAAACACACTTTGATTATTTACTACACATAAGGACGGGTGTCGGTATGCTCACTTTCTTTTTCTGCTTCTTGGAAGATTTCCCGGAAGTGTTGTCTACTTTCCCATCACCGGGGAGATCCCATATGGAAGTTGCCGACTTGCTGCCACTTCCCGGACTGACTACTGCGGTTGCGGACGAGGCCGACTTCCCGCTCACTGGTGCATGTGATGCGGCAGATTTTACGCCTTGGTGCGTACGCGCATTTGTCGCCTCCTGTGGGGATGCATCGATGAGACAAAAAAGTTTACTGGCTAGAGAAATACGGTAGTAGCAGGAGTGGGCGACAGAATAAACTGTGGGGTAAACGGGATTCGGCAGCCATCAAACGCTAAGAGCGGATAAGATCAATTTGGAGCGAAATTTGTTAGTGGACGCTTAATCAGGAATATAGCCACACGACAAAACTGAGACAAAATCTGAAAAGAATTACAAGGCTATATCAAGAAACTAGCCAACACCCAACAGACCGAACAAGTAAAGACAATTGTATTCTGAGGCAGTCATTCAACTTACGGGTCTCGGACGATCTGCTTGCTCCTGAACTCTCAGAGTCGGGAATTCCACTTTTGTTGGAACCGGTTGTGATACTGTCGGTCCCACCACAACTGCCGGTCGTGAACTAGCAACTTTGGTGGGGGGTTTGTTAGCCTTGGTGTCCGAGTTTACCACACTAGCCCAAGCTTGGGGGCGTTTTGTGGCCGCGGACGCCTCCGCTGCGGCCAGTTGAACGGCAATCTGTTCAGCCATCAGTGCCTCCCGACGCTTCTGCTCCGCCTGCACAAAGGTGATCGGGACATTTTATTTCAATAAAATTTCGCATCACGTTTCCGATGTCAGAATGGGCAATTGACAAGGTAGTATCTAGTCAAACGAAAGGTTACGACGACACGGTACAAACGTCAGAAGGATTCGATTTTGGGGCGAACTGATGCACTTCTTATATGTCGGTGTCGTTGAGTAACTATGTTAGGATTATTATCATTTATTATTTATTATTGTTATTATTTATTTTTAGAATGATCCATGGGCAAAACATCTGCATACATAAACATTCACTTGAAAATTCCATTGTAAGTAAACGAGTAGTTTGTATTTCGAGATTATCGTAGATTTCTGTGACCAGCAGAAAGCACCGACTGGTTGTGGATAGACCTGGTTGTGCCACTGGGTATACAACTTGCTAGTTACTATATGATGTGAGACGACTAAATAAACACAGTAAAAGGTACAGCTGAGAATTCGTGCATCGTGTTGCGGAATTCCAGGTCTCCAAGGGTTTCATGCTAACCAACCGATATTAACAGTTCGAGCTTTATATATATTTCAGTTTTCAAATTTTTGTTAACCATTGACCATGCATTTTCACGCACCGGCTTTAGTTGCCATCATTTGACTGCCCATTTGGATAAAAAAGAGTAGAAGAAAGATTAGAATATTGCAAGTAGAGTAAAAGCGAAGATAGAGAATTCACACGGACTTGGGTGGCAAGAGCAATGAGTAGATGCACGAGCGCCGCTGTTTACAACAGCCACCTATATCACTCAGTGTCACTAATTACCGGTTACCCTGATCTCGGAGTCTTTAGTCAGGGAGCCCGGTGGGACCTATGTAACCCATTGTCCTGGTCAGGGTTTTCATACCCTCACGCCAGGTCTTATTTTGAGCACTTGTTTTTTTCCACCCAACGTCCTCGGCAAGCGTCGCGTGCCGTGGCAACCTATCGGGTGATATGCGTAACACACCAAAACCAGTGCAACCTATGGAGGTCGGTCACTTGCTACAGTGGACCACCGC